CACCTTGCTATGGGTTGCACAACATCTCTGTGCTTACGAAGAGATGGGGGGACCCACGCGATGTGTGGAACACGTGGCATGGAATCGCAGTGACGTCGAGGGGCTGCCACGGCCTCCAACCAGACGCGCCGCCGTCGGAGGACGAGGGAGAAATGTTGGCGGCCCTGCGGCAGTATCAGAGGATCCCGTGGGAAGCAGCGCGCCGACCCCGGCGCTGTGCACCTCGTGAGGCAGGAGAGCATCCTCGGGTCACGGAAGAAGTAATCTGCCATCACTCAGGTCATGACGGACCCATCGCCCGTGGATGGTTGACACGGGTGCGTCGGCCAGCATCATATCCCTGCACGTATTTAACTTGTTACCGGAGGGACAGCGTAGTCTCGCGCCGGTTCAGGCAAGGTACATAGCGGCAAATGGGGGAAGTACGGGGATAATAGGCAAAATGGTAGTGCCGGTCCGCATCAGGGGACTGGAGGTATGGGCTCCGGTACTGGACTCCAGTGTGCTCACGATTCCCTGCTTGCTGGGCACGGACTTGTTGAGTCACATGCCCCTTCGCATTGTGATATACGAAGGGTGCGTCAAAACCCCGTCGTGAGAGGGGGGGGGGGGTCGCTTTTATTTCTTGCGTCGAGACGGGAAACGGAACCAGCTACCGCGAGTTCAGGCGCTGGCCGGGACTATGGTCTTGATCTCGCCTACAGGCCTTGGTGCCGCTTCGATATCGCACCCCGCTCGTCACTTCCCAGTCGGATGCGCCGCTCATTGTCTCCGCGGTGCCGTCGGTGGTTGGTCTCCATTGCCTAGCAGCAGCTGACACGCTCATGCGCAGGAATCAGCCACTGTTCCTGCAGATCCTTAACACGGCTGACACACCCATTCCAGTTCAGGAAGGGACCTTGTTTGAAAATGTCAGTCCCATGCATTCGTACCCTGAGGCGTAGACCGTCAACAATGTGCATTTGGACGGTCCGTCCGTCCGTGCAGAGGATATGTCATGGATAGACGCGCTCCTGGCACAGAACACCGATCTGTCTGCAAAGGAATCGGGGGAGCTCAGGACTTTGGTGACTTCGCAGATGTGTTCAGTAAGGGTCCCTAAGATGTTGGTTGCACGACACTGATGGAGCACCACATTGATACGGGCGATGCGCCACCCATTCGGCAGAATGCCTATAGGATGGGTCCTAGCGACAAGGAGCATGTGCGGCGGGCAGTGCAGGAGATGATGGAGTCTGACATCATATCGCCATTTACGGGTCAGAGGGGGGCGCCGGTTGTATTGGTTCAGAAATCGGATGGATCATTGCGGTTTTGCATAGACTTCAGGCGGCTCAACCAAGTTACCTTGGCAAAAGCCTACCCGCTCCCGCGCATAGATGACTCATTGGATGCACTCGCAGGAGCAAACATTTTCTCCACACTAGACCTTTTGGCAGGATTCTGGCAGCTACCACTAGATGCCGAATCCAGACCGAAAACAGCTTTCAGAACGCCTCACGATCTCTTTTATTTCAACTGTTTGCCGATGGGTTTACAGACGGCTCCCACCACTTTCCAGCGATTGATGGAGTTGGTACTTGCGGGGTTGCAGTGGGCGTCTTGTCTTATCTATCTGGACGATGTAATCATATTTGCTCGCACATTCGAGGTGCACTTAAGCCAGTTGCGACAGGTGTTTTTTGAAAATTTGTGACGCGAACCTCAAATTAAAACCCTCCAAGTGTCATCTGGTTCGCTCCTTCGTAAAATATTTGAGTCATGTCGTTAATGCGTTGGGGTCGCGACAGATCCCGACAAAACGGCATGCGTCCGTGATTGGCCAACACCCACGTCCGTGCCTGACGTCCGCAGATTTGTGGGGTTTGTATCCTATTACTGCTGTTTTGTCGAGAACTTTGCTAACATCGCTAAGCCCTTGCATGCGCTCACGGTGAAGGGACAGTTGTTTCGTTGAGGCCAGGCAGAGACCGACACGTTCTTGACACTGTGCCAGCATCTGACAGAAGCCCCGCCCCTAGCATACCCAGATTTTTCGATTCCCTTCCTGCTGGATACAGATGCGAGCGATGTGGGCATCGGGGCCGTTCTTTCCCAGATTCAGGAGGGGAGAGAGATTGTCATTGCCTACGGAAGTCGTGTCTTGTCGCAGGCCGAGCAGCGGTATTGCTTTACGCGCCGGGAACTGCTTGCCGTCGTCCACTTTGTTCAGCAGTTTCGGCCCTACCCGTACGGCCGCGACTTCACTGTTCGGACGGATCATGCTGCATTGCAGTACTCACTCCGCATTGACCAAGCGACCGGTCAGATGGTCCGATGGTTGGAGCAGCCCCAAGAGTACAAGTATCGAGTGGTGCATCAGAAAGGAATCAGGCATACGAACGCCGATGCATTGTCCAGACTGTCAGCCCCCGTTAAGTGAGCCTGCGGCGACGGATCCGCACACTGTAGACTGCCGGCTGCGGCGCAACCCGAGATCGTGGTCGCCGGTTTCCGCCGGGGACACGGACCAGGTGGGGCCGCCGGTATCGCCTGATCGTGACTTGGGGCTCACTTTGCGAGAATGGAGGGACCGGCAGCAGGCAGACATGGCTTTGGCACCGCTTCGCCGGCTGGTGGAGACGGCACATGCTGATGATCTCCCCACGTCGATGAAGTTTTACCTCATGTGGGAAGGCTTGTTGATGCGCTGGGACACGACTGTGAACCGTAAAGTCCTGGTGGTGCCCTCTTCCATGCGGAGTCAGCTATGCCCCGATGTTCACGCCCGACAGTTGCTCCACCTAGGTAGGTGTTGGACCGAGGCTACGCTACGCCTTCGCTATTTTGGCCGGGCATGTCCGTCGATATCCGCCGTGGGGTATCGGCGTGCGCGGACTGTGCACGCAGGAAGCCTCCGCCGGTCATGCGAAGCACACCCCTGCAGTCCATTAAAGTTTCCTGGGTAAATGAGCTCGTGGCCCCTTCCCCGCTACTCCTCGAGGAAGTAGATACCTACTGGTGGGGATGGAATATTTTACACGTTGGCCCTTTGCCTACTCGTTAGCCGACCAGACTGCGGCGTCCATTGCGGACGCCTTTGTAAATGGGTATGTAGCTAACAAGGGGGCTCCTGAGCAGCTGCTGACGGACCAGGGCAGAAACTTTTCCTCCAAGCTTTTGCAGGAGGTGTGTAACATGCTGGGTGTCAAGAAAGTACGGACGTCCCCATACCACCCACAAACGGACGGGATGGTAGAACGCTTTAACCGCACCATCTCAGGAATGCTGTCACTTGGTGAGTGACCAGCAGACGGACTGGGATTTGAACATCCCCGGGGTTTTTACGGCCTATCACTCAGTGCCGCATGCATCAACGGAATACTCACCCTTTTTCTTGATGTATGGACACGAGCCGAGCCCTCCAATTGAGGCACAGTTGCGCCCTGTCCTTTCGCAGTCGGGAGATTGGCCAGCTGCATTCCGCCACTCGCTGAAGTATTTGCGCAAGGCTCGCGAAGCGGCCTCAGCAACATCCGCATCTGCGCAAGCTACCAACGAGCGCTTGCGGGCTAAGCCGCCGGTCGTGGATCCCTTTGGGGTGAGTGACCTGGCTTGGATGCACTGCCCGCAGGTACCGGTACGTACGTCTGAAAAACTGCACCGGCCCCGGCAGAGCCCGGTCACAGTGGTGCAAGTATTGTGACCTCAATGTGTTCGAATTCAGTTGGTCAAACGTAGGTGGTACGTTCACCCCTCTAGTTTTAAACGTTACGTCGCGGCCGAACTGCCCCTACGAGCATCATCACCTTCACCACCTTCATCGTCACTTCGGCCAGGTGGGAGGAGGTTGTCACACTCGCGGCCGGCTACACATTCGACTGACAATGCAGCTGTCAATCCTGCAGAACGACAGGTGACCGGGATGGCAGCACCTGATCCATCGGGGAATCTTGACCCGTTCACGCCCACACCAACCCTGTTGTGTTCGGTCGAGGGGTCGGATTGTGGGGGAAGTCTGCGACAGAGGCGGTGCACTTGTTAAAAGGGGTCGGGGGTGGAATTGTGTTGTTGTGTTACTTTGTTGTTAAAATTACATGTGCCCGGCCACGGTTTGGTTTGACCGACCAAGGCGCACAGTTGTTGAGCCGAGGACGGCTCTTTCTCGAGGGGGGGGGGGTGTAGGGGATGTCTGAGCCATCCTCCCACACTCACACCACACAATCTCTGCACTCAACATAGCACACACCAATTACACGCACGGGAATACACCAGACGGGGGTCAAGAGATTAAAGGGCACTGATGTCACACGCACATGGCCCACAAGACAGAGATGTGGATTAGGAAGGAGGGCGGAGATGGAGGGTTTAAAAAGGGCTATGAAACGTGTGTTAGAGGTTGGTTTGAAGAACGAGTGTGGCTGTGGTTTGAAGAATAAATAAGTGATTAACCAGTTCACTACTCCTCTACACCTGTACTAGTTTGTGTATGTAGGAGATGCCTATACTAGTCTCGCAGTTGCAGGTGATGCCTGTACTGGACTTGCGAATGCAAGCAATGCCTGTACTAGACTCGCGAATTTAGGTGCTGCCTGTACTAAACTCGCGGATGTGGGTGATACCTGTACTGGACTCGCGGATGTAAGCGATGCCTGTATTTGACTCACGGACACAGGTGTGATGCCTGTGTAGAGGAGTAGAATGGAGAAGTGGCATCACTTGTGCTGTCCAGGGCGATGACGTGACGTCAGGCGCACGGGGCAGCAGAGTGACGTCACGGCTCCTCAAGGATAAAAAGGGGACCCTGTGACGTAAGCGGGGTCGTAGCTGGAGAGTAAGGTCTGAGAAAGGTGGAACGGGGAGCCAGGGGCAAGAGGGTAGGGATAGGGGAGAGCACAGTGCCAGGCTAGACGTGGCTGTGCTCCTCGGTCGGCCGTGTTGGTTGATCCCACGGCCAGGGCAGAGGAGACAGCACAGGGCAGCCGGCTGTGTCGGGACCTAGCCCGGGACCCCTAACCCCTGGGGAGTTGTTCACCCCTGTGTATTGTTAAAGATTTGTAATAAAACCTTGGCGGAAGCCCCTACCTTACCTTAGCCTCCGAGTGAGTCGTCGGGAACTCCTTTACAACTGGTGTCAGGAGTAGTTACGCTGCCGTCGCTATGCCTAAATCGGGCGGGCGGCGTAAGAATCCACCGGCGGGACGCCGGAGAGAGTGCTGACGACGTCGGGGAGGCTCCGGCTGCGACCCGGGGGCAGTCCGTCGCCATGGAGATGGACTCGGCGGGGCAGGTGGTGTCGGCGGCTGGGGGTCCCAGCGCACCACCGCCGGTGGCGGGGGGCGATGCCGAGGAGCGGTCGCAGCTGCTCCTGTGGGCGATCGAGCAGCTCACCGCCGCCCTTACAGAGGTGGGAGCGCGGACGCACCCACCCGGCCCACACTCCGCGTGGCACCGGCGGATTCCCGCCGCTTTGCCGCCCGCCAATTTGGAAGTTGGCGCCATTTTTCATGCGCCGCCGGAGGTGGCGGCCATGTTGGTGGGGGAGCCGCAAGTGGACGTAATTTCCGCTGCGACGCCGGAAGCGGCAGCCATTGTTGCGGCCGTGGCGGCCGCGGATGCGGCTGCGGATGCCGCCGCAGATTCGCACCTCGCCATGGCTGCGAGCTTGGCCGCGGAGGCTGCCGCAGATGTCGCTGCCGCAGATGTCACTGTCGCGGCTGCGCGCCTCGCCGTGGCTGTGAGCTTGGCCGCGAAGGCTGCCACAGATGTCGCTGCCGCAGATGTCACTGCCGTGGCTCCGCGCCTCGCTGTGGCTGCGAGCTTGCCCGCGGAGGCTGCCGCGGATGTCGCTGCCGCGGATGTCACTGCCGCGGCTCCGCACCTCGCCATACCGGCGAGCCGGGCCGCGGATTCCGCCGCAATTGCGGGATGGGCCGCGGACCCATATGCCGCCGCATTTGCAAGGTGGCTCGCAGGCGCTGCTGCGCCTCCTCACCTCGCCATGTCTGCGGCGTGGCCCATGGAGGCCGCAGCGCCGCCGGCCCTCGTCGCGGGCGGGGCCGCGGGGCTGGCCGTTGGCGATGCCGCGGGCCCGCACCTCGTCGCGCCTTCAAGGTGGGTCACGGGCGCTAGTGCGCCTCCGCATCCCACCGCGCCGGTGGGGTTGGCGGCAGCCGCTGCTGCACCTCCGCACCTCGCCGCGTCTATGGCGTAGCCCGGGGGGGCCGCAACGCGGCCGCTGCTCGCCGCGTCTCCGGCGTGGCCCACGGGGGCCGCAACAATGCCGCAACAATGCCGCACCACGCCGCGTCGCGGGAGGATGCCGCAGATGCGGAGGCCGCCGCAGGCATGCACGCCGGCACCGCGGCTCCATACGGCGCCGCGGACAGGTGGGTTGCAGGTGCTGTGGCGCCTCCACACCTCGCCGCGTCTACGGCGTGGCCCGGGGAGGCCGCAACGCCGCCACCCCTCGCCGCATCGCGGGAGGTTGCTGTGGCTGCGGCTGCAGATCGATCCGTCGCCGCGCCTGCGAGGTGGCCCGCAGGGACCACCGCGGGGCCATGTTATACCGCCATGTCTCCGGCGTGGCCTACGGGGGCCGCAGCGCCACCGCACCTTGCCGCGTCTTCGGCATGGCCTATGGGGGCCGCAACTCCACCGCCACCCACCGCGTCTCCGGCGTGGCCTACGGGGGCCGCAGCGCCACCGCACCTTGCCGCGTCTTCGGCATGGCCTATGGGGGCCGCAACTCTGCCGCCACCCACCGCGCCTCCGGCGTGGCCTACAGGAGCCGCAGTGCTACCGCACCTTGCCACGTCTTCGGCGTGGCCTATGGGGGCCGCAACTCTGCCGCCACCCACCCCGCCTCCGGCGCGGGTGGTCGCCGTCCGGAGCAGTGGGGGCAGCCGGGACCTTCCCGCCCGCAGGACACTGCCACGGTGACCTGCTTCTGCTGTGGTCAGCAGGGCCACATTGAGCGGGGGTGTAGGAATGCTCCGGGGGCCTTCAGCAAGGGGGCTCCAACTCCTCCCGGACCATCATCAGCATCGAGCCCAGGGCCCCAGGCGAGTTGCGACGCATCACCCGCGCGGCCGCCCCCCTCACCTCATGCATCTAGCGGGGCTAGGGTTCATCGTCAAGGGGTTGTCCTCGAGGGGTCGGGTGCACCACCATTGTCACCCACTGGATGGCCCAGGCTGACCCGCCACTGGAACGCGCTGGCGCATCGGATGGTGGCGGCAGCTGCTGGCTCCTCAGCGTTGGCGGGTTGCGTGCAGGGGGTGCGAGTTCGCCTCTTGGTGGATACGGGAGCGTCTGCCACCATTATTTCAGAGGCCATTTTCAAGCTCCTACCCCGCAGCGTCAGTCCGTTAGGGCCGGTTCGTGGGGCTTGTGTCGCCGCGAACGGCAGCAGTTTGGGCATATTGGGCCAAGTTATAGCGTCGGTTCGGGTGGACGAGATTGAGTTGGCTGGGCCTATTTTGGTCTCCAAGACCTTGGCAGTTCCATGCCTCTTGGGGACCGACTTTTTGTCTAGAATGCCCATTCGAATTCTCGTTGACCAGGACTGTGTGGAATTGCCGTCAGGGAGGCGGCTGCAATTCCTACAATCGCCTACCGTCCTGTCTCCCTTGGTTGCCAGTGTGCGGGCCTTGAATAGGGCGGCGGTGACCGTGCCGCCGGCATCACAAATCTTGCTACCCCTTAGGTTGCGCAGACCGCTCGAAGGGGGCTCCACGGAGACAGGTATCCTCCTGTCCCCGTCGAGTTACTTTTCAAGGACGATGGGATTGGTGGGCGCCTTGACGGCCGTGTCGGGGGGCCAGGACCTTTTTCTACAGGTCCTCAATTCGGGGCCCACGCCGATCGTAATCCCGGCCGGTGCCGTCCTGGCACATGCGACCCCGGCTCCCCCACCCGAGAGCGCTGCCCCAGATGGAGGAGTCGTGGCGGGCGTGATGCGTGCGGGGGACTCCGACGCATCGTGGATCACCACGTTGTGCGACGAGAATGCCTTGTTGTCCACCGGGGAGCATCAGCAACTCCGCGAACTCATCCAGAGGTTCACCGATGTGTTTAGCCAAAGTAAGTTTGATCTGGGTCGCACTACTCTTTTGGAACACCACATAGATACGGGCGACTCAGCCCCTATTCGGCTTAATTCCCACCGCTTTAGCCCTGCGGAAAAGGAGCATGTCCGCTCGGCTGTCGACCAAATGTTGGCGGCGGACATCGTCTCCCCTTCCACTAGCCCTTGGGGTGCCCCCATTGTGCTAGTCAAGAAACGGGACGGGAGTCTCCGGTTCTGCGTTGATTTCCGTAAATTGAACAAGATCTCGGTGGCTGACGCATATCCATTGCTTCGCATGGATGATTCCCTGGACGCCCTCTCGGGCGCGCGGTTCTTTTCGACTCTAGATTTGCTCTCCGGCTTCTGGCAATTGCCGCTGGACGAAGCCTCTAGACCCAAGACAGCGTTCCGCACGTCCCAGGGGCTGTTCGAGTTCAATCGGCTTCATATGGGTCTTCATTCGGCCCCAGCCACCTTCCAGCATCTCATGGAGATGGTTTTGGCGGGGCTGCAGTGGGAGTCTTGTTTAATCTACTTGGACAACGTTATTGTTTTTGAGCGTACGTTTGACGAGCACTTGCAACGCCTCGAGGCTGTGTTCGTCAAAGTGCGCGCTGCGGGCTTGAAATTTAAACCCCAGAAATGCCATTTGCTACAACCATCGGTGAAATATTTGGGACACATTGTTAGTGCGTCAGGTGTCCCCACAGACCCGGAGAAAACGGCTTGTGTCCCGACGTGGCCGACTCCCACATCTGTCGCGGAGGTGCGTAGCTTCGTCGGCTTCGCATCGTACTATCGCCGGTTTGTCCGCGATTTTGCGACGATTGCGAAGCCGCTGCACGCCCTCTCCGCCAAAGGCCAAAGGTTTTACTGGGGCGCGGAGGAGGAGGCTGCTTTTGCGATGCTTCGCACGGCCTTGGCGGATGCGCCCGCCCTTGGGGTACCCCGATTTCTCGAAGCCCTTTCTGCTTGACACCGATGCCAGCGACATGGGCATTGGGGCAGTCCTGGCCCAGGTGGTCGACGGGGTGGAGAGGGTGGTAGCCTACGGCAGTCGGGTTCTGTCTCCGACGGAACAGCGATACTGCGTGACTCGGAGGGAGCTTTTGTCCATAGTTTTTTTTGTTAAATTGTATAGGCCCTACTTGTACGGTAGGCGGTTTACAGTCCGAACCGACCACGCGGCCCTGCAATATTCGCTGAGGATTGGTCAGCCCTCGGGTCAGCTGTCCCGCTGGCTCGAGGTGCTCCAGGATTACCCCTTTGACATAATCCACAGAAAGGGGGCACTGCATGGAAATGCGGACGGGTTGTCCAGATTGCCGGTAGGCGGCGGGTGTGCTTGCGCCCTGGGCTCTAGCCGTTGCAAGGCCCCAGGGGACGTCGCGGCCCAGTTGGTCGCGTCGGCCGTGACGGCCACCCCCCCGGGTGCGGCGACATCCACGGATTTCGGCCTGGGACTCCCCCGGGAGGTATGGTCCAGCTTGCAGATGGAGGATTCCTCCCTGCTGAAGCTACGGCGACGCGTCGGACGTACGGCCCGGGGTTCAGCTTCGTCGGCGACCCCAGCGATCGCCGTGCATGACGGACTCCTCATGCGTTGGGATGCCCAATTGGAACGCTATTGCGTGGTTGTGCCCACTAGCCTACGTGGTAAATTAACCCGAGCCATTCACGAGAAGCGTATGCACCTTGGCTACCACAAGACCCTATTGACCCTTAAGCGGGACTATTACTGGCCAGGTGTGGAGGGTGACGTGGCACTGATTTTGAAGGGTTGCCACGACTGCGCGCGGAGGAAGGCCCCAGTTGTCCAGGACCAGGCCCCGCTGCAGTCCATCCGGGTTTCTCGCGTTAATGAACTCGTGGCGCTCGACATCTTGGGCCCATTCCCTGCATCCCAACGGGGCCATAAATACCTCTTGGTGGGCGTTGAGTACCTCACACGTTGGCCTGTGGCGTGGCCTATGGTCGATCAGTCGGCCTCTTCTATCACCGAGGCGTTCGTCCAGGGGTACGTGTTGGACAAGGGTGCGCCGAAACAATTGTTGACGGATCAGGGGCGGAATTTCTCATCTAAGCTGCTCAAGGAGGTGTGTGACCTCCTTGGCACCAAGAAAATCCGCACCTCGCCCTACCACCCCCAATCGGACGGGATGGTAGAGCGCTTGAACCGCACCCTCACTTCCATGCTGTGCCACCATGTGAACACGTCTCAATCGGACTGGGACCTGTTCATCCCGGGGGTCTTGGCAGCGTATCGGTGGCTCCTCATGCCTCAACGGGATTTTCGCCTTTTTATTTAATGTACGGGAGTGAGCTGGAGCCCCCGGTGCACGTCCAACTGGACGTGGGGTCCTCCAGGAAGGGGTCGGCTGTGCCGGTCCCTTTGAAAGTCGCGCTTGACCGGCTGCGCGAGGCACGGCAGGCCGCTGCCGAGAATTCCGCCGGCCGGCAGGCGGCTAATGAGCGGCTGCCCAAACACCAGGCAGCGGGCCTCCCGTGGGTAGCGGGCCAGAAAGCGTGGCTGCATTGTCCCCAGGTCCCGGTTGGCACATCTGCCAAATTGCACCGCCCTGGGCAGGGTCCCGTTGAGGTCGTGGAAGTCCCCCGGCCGCAGTGCGTCCGAATTCGGTTCGGACGCCGGCGGTGGATAGTGCACCCGTCCCGGCTCAAACGCTATATTCCATCTACCCTGGGGGATCCACCCCCAACTCCGGGGCGGCCGGCGGGTGATGCGTCCGTCGTGCCTGTCCGGCCGGGTCCTGTTGACGGGGGCGGCGCTCGCCCTATTTGTGTGCCCCCAGGGCCCTTCCAAGTAGCGCCGGCGGGGACCCCCCGGCCACCGGAGGCTACGGCGGTGGGCCTGTTGCCTGCGGACAGCCCACCTGCACCGGCGGCGGACGCCACACGGGGAAGCGGGCCGGCAGCGCATACCCGTTCAAGGGGGATGCAGCTCCGGTGATGGCCTGGCCGGCCGTTCGTCGGACCCAGCCCCGGCGCCCGCTCGGCACTGCCGGCCGGAAGAAGCCGCCTTACTTTTTTTTCCGTTCATTTGGTTGTTGTTATTGTGATGCCTGGGATGCCGTGCTGCCCTAAGGTTGGGGTTTTCTTGCAGCCGGGTCGGCTGTTTTTTTCACAGGGGGGGGGTAATGTAGAGGAGTAGAATGGGGAAGTGGCATCACTTGTGCTGTCCAGGGCGATGACGTGACGTCAGGCGCTCGGGGCAGCAGAGTGACGTCACGGCTCCTCAAGGATAAAAAGGGGACCCCGTGACGTAAGCGGGGTCATAGCTGGAGAGTAAGGTCTGAGAAGGGTGGAACGGGGAGCCAGGGGCAAGAGGATAGGGATAGGGGAGAGCACAGTGCCAGGCTAGACGTGGCTGTGCTCCTCGGTCGGCCGTGTTGGTTGATCCCACGGCCGGGGCAGAGGAGACAGCACAGGGCAGCCGGCTGTGTCGGGACCTAGCCCGGGAACCCTAACCCCTGGGGAGTTGTTCACCCCTGTGTATTGTTAAAGATTTGTAATAAAACCTTGGCAGAAGCCCCTACCTTACCTTAGCCTCTGAGTGAGTCGTCGGGAACTCCTTTACACCTGTATTAGACTCGCGGATGCAGGCGATGCCTGTACTAGGCTCGCAGATGCAGGTGATGCCTGTGCTAGTCTCGTGCATTTAGGTGATGCCTGTACTTATCTCAGATCTAGGTGATGCCTGTGTTCGGGACATCCTCACACAAAAAACACCACACAACCACGGGTTAAGGGTCAGGGGTCACGGGATCACTGCCGTGCACGACACGCAATCCTAATTCTTGAGTGGAGGGACACTCTGATCGGATTGGTGCGAGAAGGATTAACCAAGAGGGAAAACCCCAAGGATTAACAAAGGGCGAAAAAATCCCGAGAAGGATTAACAAAGGGCTGAAAAACCCGAGATGGTGATTGGTGGAAAAGGGGGGAGAGAGGCTATTTAAAGAGAAAGGCGTTGGAGGGTTCGGGATTGGTTTTTGATGACGAGTGGAAGTGTGGTGTGAGGTTGCTTTGAAAATAAAGATCCTTCTTAACCAGCTGAAGTCTCCTCTTCACCTGTTTTGGACTCGCGAATGCAGGTGATGCCTGTACTAGACACATGGATGCAGGTGATGCCTGTACTAGATTCGCAGATGCAGGTGATGCCTGTGTAGAGGATGTTCAGGACATCCTCACACACAAACACACAATCACGGGTTAAGGGTCAGGGGTCACGGGAGCACTGCCGTGCACGACACGCAATCCGATGATTGAGTGGAGGACACTCTTATCAGATTGGTGCGAGGATTATAAAACGGCGGGAAAACCCGAGGTGATTGGCGGAAAAGGGGGGAGATACGGGCTATTTAAGGGAATGGAGTTGGAGAGTTTGGGGTTGGCTTTGTGAGTTGGCGTCGAGAATAAAGACCCTTCTTTGACCAGCTCAAGTTTCCTCTTCACCTGTACTTGACTTGTGGATGCAAGTAATTCCTGTACTAGACTCGCGGATTTAGGTGCTGTCTGTACTAAACTTGTGGATGCAGGTGATGCTTGTACTGGACTAACGGATGCAAACAATGCCTGTATTTGACTCACGGATGCAGGTGCTGTCTGTACTAAACTTGTGGATGCAGGTGATGCTTGTACTGGACTAACGGATGCAAGCAATGCCTGTATTTGACCCGCGGACACAGGTGATGCCTGTACTAAACTTGCGGATGCAGGTCATGCATGTACTAGACTTGTGGATGCAGGTGATGCATGCACAAAACTCGCGAATGCAGGTGATGCCTGTACTAGACTCGCAGATGATGCCTGTACTATTCACTTGGATGCCAGTGATGCATGCACTAGACTCGTGAATGCAAGTGATGCCTGTACTAGTCTCGTGCATTTAGGTGATGCCTGTACTACTCGCAGATCCAGGTGATGCCTGTGTTGGACTCACAAATGCAGGTGATGCCTGTATTGGACTCGCGAATGTAGGCGATGCCTATACTGGACTCGCGGATGCAAGCAATGCCGGTATTTGACTCGTGGATGCAGGTGATGCCTGTGCTAGACTTGTGGATTCAGGTGATGCCTGTGTAGTGACATAGCATTGACTGTTATACAGAAGCTGCAACTGCAGGTGGGCACTTCGCGCACACGCTGCTGAGCATATACTTGGGTGTGCCGGCAGAGTGGAGGAACTGGGGCAAGGGTCACGGCAGACCTTGTGGGGAAGCCCCTGGAACCCTCTTGAGTGTTTGAGAAGGCAGGCGCGGCTAGGGCGGAGCAAAGAGGAGAGCAAGAGCTCCGGGCTGCCGGTTCTGGGATTGGACTTGTCTCGTCATCCCTGTCGTCGTCGCCGCCCTCGTCGCTGCCGCCTTCGCCCTATCATTGCGCAGCCGGACAGTAGTTGGCTGCCCCGGTCGACGCCGTCGGTGCAACGCGGACAGGGTCGTGTCTGGGACGGGTCGCACGGCAGTGTGGTCGTGTGAGAGAGAGAGGGGGGGGGGGGGCCCGAGTGGTGGCGTGAACCTGACAACACTAAAAGGGGAGGACGGTGCCTCCTGCAGCTACCTCGTCTCCGACTTGAGTGTATGTGCGACACATGCCACCCGCACGCACAGGCGACACTCATCTGTACTAGACTCGCGGATGCAGGCGCACATTGATTCCATTCTCTGGACGCAGGATGAGTTCCCCCACGGGGCGCAGCATTTCTCGCTCCTCCATGGCCTCAATTCGGAACGCACGCAGCACCGACGACAGCAGCACCTTCTCCTCCATTAGGGCGAAGCGCTGGCCTAAGAGGAGGTCACACCATAAAGAGGTCACCACACAGAAATGTGTGATATATGAGAGTCACTGTAAAGGGATTCAGAGGGGCAGGCAAGAACAGGATACATTTTCATCATCCAGTAAATGTAAATCATGTGCTATGAAGTTGGCTGTCAGTTATTACACGTTTTTATAATTCAGTTAATCAAACTAGTGCAAATACAATGACACGTAACACAATGTCATAAGCACCAGGACACTATCACGAATATACACAGGCGAGACCATCACCCATTATTATTTTTGTAACTGTAAAATGTTCATCATATTCGCTCAATTGTCATAAGCACATTGCAAATGCATGCACACGCTCAGGCTCTTGTGCTTATTCTTTCATTCAAGTGTAACATAGAGGAGGATGCCCACCGATACAATTGCGCAGACCAGCAGAGAAGGGCACATAGGCGTAGGGGTGGCGCCCCACTGAGTTTTCAGGAAGGAAGCGCTCAGGCCGGAACTCCTCGGGCTCGGGGAAGCTGTCCGGATCTCGGTGCAGGCTGTACGTGATGATGACTGCATTGACTCCCTTGGGGATCGTGAATCCACCTACACAGGACACAAATCAAAACTCATACTCGCATCCACGATAACACACCAAGAGTGATCGTTTCTGTGAATGACCGATGAATAATTAATATGCCAGTGTACACACAGATACACATAATCAACAATCACAATTCACATGTATTCAGTCACAGGTATTGAGTGCATTAATTTTTATTTATGTTTAGGTTGTTGTCCTTCCCCTGCACCTCTAATTAGCATGGTTGGCTACGTATGTTGCGAAAGCAGTTCAAAATACATCATGGGACCTCCTTTGCCAGTACCAAAATATGAGAATAGGTTTTCCCCTCTTTTCTGGCAACAGGTGTTAAGATAATAGGTTTTTCCCCTTTTTTCTGGCAACAAAACTGAAACCTTTTTATGAGGAATCATGTCTGCATTAACCACAATACCTGCAGTCAAAATGCAAACAAAAAACACTCTGATAATATATGCATTTTCCTTGAAACTAATTGGTCCACACCAGAGACAGCTTTCTTTTGAGCCTCGTCTCAAACGTTGTTAGACCAAAGGACGCCAAAAGGCGTACGTTTGCATTCTAACTGCAAGTATTGTGGTTAATGCAGACATGATTCCTTGTAAAAAGGTTTCAGTTTTGTTGCCAGAAAAAAGGGGAAAAACCTATTCTTATATTTTGGTACTGGCAAAGGAGGTCCCATGAGGTGTTTAGATGTTAAAACATACTCTTTGGTTCTATTGGGTAAAGTCACGTAGGTGAAAATAAAATAACAAAAAATCACGACGTTTCGGCCACAACACAAGCGGCCTTCATCAGGTGAAGGGACGAGACTGTCTGGAGGACAGCGCTGGAGTGGAAGAAGCCACGCTTAGATCACGACCTTCTTCCACTCCAGCGCTGTCCTCCAGACAGTCTCGTCCCTTCACCTGATGAAGGCCGCTTGTGTTGTGGCCGAAACGTCGTGATTTTTTGTTATTTTATTTTCACGTACGTGACTTTACCCAATAGAACCAAAGAGTATGGATCCTAGCAGTCACGAAAGCTTTAAATCTATAATAGATGTTAAAACACCAAACTGAATGTTTTTTTACAAGGAATCATGTCTGCATTAACCAGAATACTTGTGGTCAGAATGCAAACAAAAAACATACTCTTGATAATATATGCATTGACTTTGAAACTGATTGGTTCACACCAAGTATTGTGGTTAATGCAGACATGATTCCTTTTAAAAAGGTTTCAGTTTGGTGTTTTAACATCTTAACACCTGTTTTGTTGCCAGAAAAAAGGGGAAAACCTATTCTCACAGTTCAAACTACATACATACATACAATTTTAAGACTGGGATTCACACCAATCCTATAACTCGCAAGATGGCGACAGCTTCTATTTTAAATGTCAATGCTATTCTCATATAATACGTGAATACCTTTTACTGATCATAATTAGCGATCGTTGATGACAATGAGACAAGTAAGCATTAGATAATTATAAACAAAAAAAACAGTTAACAAAACGATAATTAAGCAGACGTATTGTGACATCCATGGCACTGGCCCCTCGTCCCCAAAGCAAAGGTTTGAATCAAAGTATACACGACATTCACTTTCCTTCAAACTGCACCTGCCGGGTCTCTACAATCCTGTTTCCTAGACTCCTCGTTTTTTCAAGGGTTGTCTCTGCTGCTTGCAAACTCCAATGTATGTATGTACAGTGAGGGAAAAAAGTATTTGATCCCCTGCTGAATTTTGCATGTTTGCCCACTGACAAAGAAATGATCAGTCTATAATTAATAATGGTAGGTTTATTTGAACAGTGAGAGACAGAATAACAACAAAATCCAGAAAAACTCATGTCAATAATATTATTAATTGATTTGCATTTTAATGATGGAAATAAGTATTTGACCCCTCTGCAAAACATGACTTAGTACTTGGTGGCAAAACCCTTGTTGGCAATCACAGAGGTCAGACGCTTCTTGTAGTTTGCCACCAGGTTTGCACACATCTCAGGAGGGATTGTGTCCCACTCCTCTTTGCAGATCTTCTCCAAGTCATTAAGGTTTCGAGGCTGATGTTTGGCAACTCGAACCTTCAGCTCCCTCCACAGATTTTCTATGGGATTAAGGTCTGGAGACTGGCTAGGCCACTCCAGGACCTTAATGTGCTTCTTCTTGAGCCACTCCTTTGTTGCCTTGGTCGTGTGTTTTGGGTCATTGTCATGCTGGAATACCCATCCACGACCCATTTTCAATGCCCTGGCTGAGGGAAGGAGGTTCTCACCCAAGATTCGACAGTACATGGCTCCGTCCATCATCCCTTTGATGCGGTGAAGTTGTCCTGTCCCCTTAGCAGAAAAAACACCCCAAAAACATGTTTCCACCTCCATGTTTGACGGTGGGGATGGTGTTCTTGGGGTCATAGGCAGCATTCCTCCTCCTTCAAACACGGCGAGTTGAGTTGATGCCAAAGAGCTCCATTTTGGTCTCATCTGACCACAACACTTTCACCCAGTTGTCCTCTGATGTTCATTGGCAAACTTCAGACGGGCATGTATATGTGCTTTCTTGAGCAGGGGGACCTTGCGGGCGCTGCAGGATTTCAGTCCTTCACGGCGTAGTGTGTTACCAATTGTTTTCTTGGTGACTATGGTCCCAGCTGCCTGGAGATCATTGACAAGATCCTCCCGTGTAGTTCTGGGCTGATTCCTCACCGTTCTCATGATTATTGCAACTCCACGAGGTGAGATCTTGCATGGAGCCCCAGGCCGAGGGAGATTGACAGTTCTTTTGTGTTTCTCCCATTTGCGAATAATCGCACCAACTGTTGTCACCTTCTCACCAAGCAGCTTGGCAATGATCTTGTAGCCCATTCCAGCCTTGTGTAGGTCTACAATCTTGTCCCTGACATCGTTGGAGAGCTCTTTGGTCTTGGCCATGGTGGAAAGTTTGGAATCTGATTGATTGATTCTTCTCTGGACAGTTGTCTTTTATACAGGTAAGCTGAGATTAGGAGCACTCCCCTTAAGAGTGTGCTAATCTCAGCTCGTTACATGTATAAAAGACACCTGGGAGCCAGAAATCTTTCTTATTGAGAGGGGGTCAAATACTTATTTCCCTCATTAAAATGCAAATCAACTTATAACATTTTTGACATGCGTTTTTCTGGATGTTTTTGTTGTTATTCTCTCTCAATGTTCCAATAAATCTACCATTAAAATTAGAGACTGATAATTTCTTTGTCAGTGGGCAAACGTACAAAATCAGCACGGGATCAAATACTTTTTTCCCTCACTGTAGAAGTTATTTCACACCGTTCGAAGCAAACTATGCTAATTGGAGATGCCAAACTTACCAACATCTTCTCGGCGCCATTTACATCCATTTTTTTTCCCCTCCACATTTAGAAACATGCGTTTAGAGTATTTGGTGCTATAAATTTCCACATGATGAGCCACTTCGTTGAGCTATCATTTGTGGCCAGGTCCCTTCTGAAAAAGAGCTATATAGCTCCGTGGGCCTTATCTGGTAAAATAAAAAGTTAGTAAATAGTAGACATAGTTTTGCATTTGTCACCCACTGCAATGCTGCAGTGCATTTTGCCTTCAATTAGTAGTTGGTTAATTTCTTAGTACATTTGGTCTGTTTTCATCATGATGGCTTGTTGTAATGTTGAAGATCTTTCGCACCGTATGTAGCCAACCGTGCTAATCAGAACTATGTTGTCAGGGGATATATTTGAATTTTCGAATATACATGTGTAGTGATACACTCAGAGATACTAGGAATAGGAGGCACTCTATTATAGCCTTCACAGGGTACAAAGGGTAATTACACTTCAGTCAGGATAGCTAAAAGACTGCCTGACTGACAACGCCGAGAAGATGAAGACTGTGACGAAGACTCCAGCAGCCCGATGGGATTCCACTCCAAACCACAGCCCTGAACATTCGCTCGGCGTCCCCATTTATCCTCCTAGCGTAACCTTGCTCCGCCCCTGGCCACGCCCCCCTTCTGGAACCTACTAGTGAGTTCCCGGGCTTACCTCATATGCCCCCTCTATCACCTTTTCCCGACATCCCCCTCTCTACTTATCAAGTGACCTGCTGACAGACAGGGCTGCTGCAACCGCAGATCCCTTTCCCTGCGATATGCTTCATAGTGACCCATGCCATGTCACTACACGTGAAGTGAGTCCAACTGAGTTGCAGACGTTATTCTTCAGAGGACACACATTTATTGTAACATGTATATACAAAGGGGTAACTGCCCCTTTACCAGATACAGCCTGGGGTGGTGACCACCCAGCTAACTACACTATACGTAGGAGTTACAGCTACGAAGGTTTGGACCCTCACTCGAGTCCCCGGCCAGGTGTTAATGCCTCGTAGGATGTAGAGCTTCCAGCTTGTAGACGTAGAGCTTCCAGCTTGTAGAATGAAGTGACCCCGGTCCCTCTCAGGGACCCACCTTATATCCTTCCGGGTCGGTGCCGGCTCCGCCCTCGGCCCCGCCCGCCTTTGAGCGTTCTAGCTCCCTCTCGATCCCCCTCGAGAGCTCTCCCTGGACAAGTGATCACCCCCTAGCTCCCACACCTGGGGCCTTCTCTGTGGACACTCCAGATCACGTGTCTACGGGGTCAATCAAGAGTGCCATGGCCCAGGGCAACCCTGTCCTTGGGCTGACACTCTCCCGCTCCCCCTTGTGGGAGCCCGCACTACACGCTATGCGTGGTGCCCATGCTATTCCAGCGCTCACCAAGCCCTGCTAGGGCTGGCACTACACCCATCTACGGGGTGTACGCGATGACGGTGCATCGCACACCGTGCTATGCTAAAGCCGGCATCACACAGCAACCCACCCGGTGCTGTCCGCGACGTAAGAACATCTCACGCCACGGCCCTCCCGGGCCGGCACCGTACAGTGACACTACACATGTATACACTGATGTAAAATGTTGTTCCATGGATACATTGGTGTTGGTCTATACTATGGGCCGGCAACCAAAATAACAAGAGGCATTTGTTATTAATTTGGTAAAATAAACTCAATATTTCAAGAGCCGCAATGCACTTGAATACGAGACGGTTCCTAATAAATAACATTGTTGATTAAGCAGTCCTTAATGAGTCGTATGTGGCTCCGGAGCCACAGGTAGCGGACCCCTTGTCTGCACTAATAATCTTAACATGCTTTAATATGATTTAAATATTTTGGCTGCTGTAAATTTCTACATGATAAGCCACTTCATTGAGCCATTATTTGTGGCCAGGTTGCTTCTGAAAAAGAAGCAAATAGCTCAGTGAGCCTTACCTAGTAAAATACAAAGTTTAGTTTTATAATTATTTGCTTACCTTCCTATACTTTGCATTCCTATCGTGTTTTTGTATTGTTTGTTGTTGTAACTTTCTGATCTGCCCCTACTGGACATTTGTGAAAAAAGCTTCATAGCTTATCGTATTCGTCCAGTATAAATGAAGATTCTGATAACCATGGCGCCGGTGGGCGCCAAAATGTGCGCTCACCGGCACAACGTGTTTGAGTGTCACAGATTTGGAGGTCTGGTACCAGTCAAGAAATTGATTCAGCAATAAATTATACATGTTAAATACAAATCCCATTCTAACATATAAACTGTGGTATTATTTACCAAGAGTATATTTATGTTTGCATAAACAGAAATCAATATATATGTTCACTGTGGCGATGTACGGATGAATCTGCTCCTGCTGCTGCTTACGGATGGTGCAGTCTTGAGACAGGGTGCGCGCAAACATGGGAACAGAAGGAAAGATACGCAGAGCCTCCTTGATGACGCATTCCAGGTAGCGCAGCTTCTTCAGATCCTCCATGGTCATGTGCCGACTGGACTGCCCTGCAATACGGAGTAGAGCACAGCTTCTGAAACAAGGAATCAAGCGTGAAGGAAGCCCAAATATTGTCTTCTCTACACAGCAAACACATCGCCACTTTGTCTTCAATGTTGAGACAATGGGATCTGCAATTTAGGCATATCTTGAGTCACTATCCCTGGCAAATGATGACTGGGACTGGTTTTCACTCTGGCGTCAACACGCACAACCCACACTTACACACTGCCACTTTGTGCAGACACCATGTTTGGTATAAGTTTATTGAGCACACATGGCAATCTTTAACGAAGCGAAAGCAAGAACAGTATGAGAGGCTTAACTACGTTCTCCGGAGTCACCACGTTTCTCGAGCGAACGCTCAAGAGATGCTACCTCTAAGGGCGCCACGGTATGTGACATGTTTGCTACCTTGCCTGGTATACAGGAGGTCGTGGGTTCTAGTCTGACCCTGATGTCTCTATATATTTGGAGTTTGCACTTTCTCCCCATGGTCATGTGGATTTTTGTGTGGTCCTCCGGTTTTTCCCTCCACATTGTGTTTTAAGTATTTGGCTATTATAAATATACACATGTTAAGCCACTTCGTTGAGCTATCATTTGTGGCCAGGTCACTTCTGAGAAAGAGCTATATCGCTCAGTGGGCCTTACCTGATAAAATAAAAAAAATCGTTTAATTTTAATTTGTTTTTGTTTACCTGAAAACGAGTACCCCTGCAACAAGTGGACATTACCGGGTGATAATTCCTGTGGCATGATCCAATGATGGAGGTTGAGGTGCAGAGGATGGAGCGAGCGGTGGGATGTGTGCTGCACTTCACGCAGACGCTGCTCTGCGTATTCCTACCGAAAACTTGGTCGAGCTCCTGGTGAAGCTGCCTCTGCACGTGCGGATGTGACCCGATCAGGTAGAGCGCCCAGTTCGTAGCAGCTGCAGTCGTGTCATGCCCCTAGGCATTCAGATTCAGCAGCATTGAGAGTGTGTTCCGTTACAAAGACGATAGAAGCAATGTCTCGCCCAACACACTTGTATCCTGGTCCTGAGCCAAACGATTACCAAGTGGTAGAAAAATGCATGGACAGAGTGATCGTTTCTTAGAGAGATTTAATAACATCTTTGTGAGTTAACAAACAATTTGAAAAATGTGATCTGAGGTTACAACATGGGCTTGTATTATCAGTGCTGTTGATTGTTACCATAAGAATCACTGGAAGATTTGATTAATGTGGACATCTTAGTTGCAACTCATATTCACCATGTGGAGCAGTGAGAGGTGTGGATTGAGTGGCGGTGATGGGAGAAAGAATAGGGGGAGAGTTGAAGTTGGGAGATGGAAAGTGAACCAGACAGATAATAATTTACACAAGTGTAATGATGGTGATGATAATAATAGCAATGTCCTTCATTTTACACAGGGAAGCCACAGTGAAGTCTCAAGACAATTTTTCAGAAGGACCTTGCTTTGGGATGTTTGACCATATCCATGAATGATGGCATGTCACGTGATATATAAATAATGAAGCAGATGTCCCCACGATGCCTGGCACAGACACGCTATGAACACCTACGTTATCATGGCAACTCGGCTCTCTCGGTAACATCGCTCACATAGCTGGTGACGCTGTGTGGGCGACGTTTTCACTGAGCGATATCGCCATAACTCCTCACAGTAAGATTTTGGGTTTAGATTAGAAGAGCTGTCAATCATCAGCATCTAAGCTCCGTATGTATCTGTAGTGTGGCATTGCTGATGTCATCCGCCATTGTAAAATTGCTGGGTGATGATGACCATTGATAAGGAAAAGTCAGAGCAGAGGACTTGAGCAACCGAGGCTGAATCGTGTCATTGGATGCGAGACCTAAAATCTCTCCGTGTCCACATCCTTGAGGCACCCACCTCAAACATGAAGGTGTCCACCTCCTCGCGGATGTCGCTGTGGGAGAGGGGCCGGTCCTCGCTGTCCTTGGCGGCCAACAGCATGTCCAGGAAGGCGAGTCTCTTTCGCCGCTGGGCATTGGCCCCGGTGTCCCTCTCATGCTTCTGGCTCTGAGCGTGCTCTATGATCACCTGCGCAGGTGATCGCACAAGGGCATCGAGGGGGCACACCAGCAGAGTCGGCAACAGTCTCTCGAGAATATCTGTGACCGCCTTTGCCTCTGCAAAAAATCACCCATATAATCACAACGTTTAACACGCTTTCAGATGCGCTTCTGCGGCCACCTGCAACGTTATTCCTTCCGCCTGATGAAGACTGCTTGTGTTGCGATCGGAACGTCGCGGGTTTTTGCTTTTATTATTTTAATTGTATATATTTTTTCTATTCACGTGACTTTACCGAAAGAACCAAGAATATGAATTCCTGCAGTCATGAAAGTTTAAAGTCAAAATTAGGAAGCCACTGGAGCTATGCACTTTTAAATCTAGATTGAAAACTAATTTCTTTGGAACTTTGTTTTGTGTTTAGTTTCTTGTCCTTCCCCACACATTCGATTAACATGTTTGGCTATGTACAGTGCGAAAGAAGTTCAAAATTTTTTACATACAAAATGATGTCCGTAGGAAGCAAATGTATAGAAGTGAAATGTGCAAAAGCTGCAAGGGGAGGAAGAGCCCAGTCTGGGTCCTGTCCCAGGTGGAGTTGGGCTGGAGGTGAGGTGGATTCTCACAACTTGCAGAGTTCCTCGTGCAAAATACAGACTCGCACCTCCTCAGTGAACGTGTGGAGGACCTTGAGACATCGGTCATGGTCTTTTCCTTCCCCCAGGGTTGAGTAAAGAAAATCCGACCAGAACCAGGGCATTTTCTGTCTCCTATGAATGAAGTCACTCAACCTGCAAACAGATATAACATTAATGGTATTTGTATTCCCATTGCCAAAATCTGTTTCAAATACGACAAATATACAAGTACTTCAGTCAAAGTGTATTGTTTATGGATATTTTATTGTGTTTACTGTTATGTTTTCATGTACATTCGTATTGTGTTGTCAATTTTGTGGAATCGTTTTACAGTCTTCCAGGGACTGCAAGGCTGATTTAAGCAGCTGTTAAAACCCAGGCAGAGAAAACGTCACGTGATATATGATCATCAATTCTGCTCTCATTGCTGGAGACCATGATGCCTTGGGAAAGGCCCTGGGCTAGTTTCTAACCCAGCAAGAACGCCAATGTGTACACCTGGGAAACAAGGTTTTTCTTCTGTCTCCAGGGGAGTTCCTCAAGGTTCAGTCATGAGTCAGTCCTCTTGAATCTCCAATCTTCGCCCAATCTCCCTAAACGTGCTCTTTTTGTCATTGTATCAAATGTGTTAAATCCTACAAATGATTGGAGTCCCGAGACATCACCTGAATCTGCAGTGCACGTATAAAAACTCACACAAAAAATATAAAAAACTAAAGACTAAATCAAACTCAAGCCAAGATTCTTTAAAAAAAAATTATAATCTTACTTTTCGTTGAACGTGAAGAAAAATAAGTAACGTGGAAAGAATGCGATATTTTCATATCATTAAACTAGGCCCATCTATTGTGTGGTGCGGTGGTGCACCTTGAACAAAGGTGCACTTTAAAAAGCAACTAAGCACGGAAGACAAATCATGCACACACGTTGAATCTGTAAGGTTTCCCAACATGCGCTTGTCCTCAGAAGTGTTGGCGATAATAAAGGTGGTGCTAGCATGAGGTGCACTAGCAACGGTTATCATGACCGTAGCCGAAAATGAGACGGGGCAAGGAGCGCGCGTGACGGACAGTGCGGTGATCAATGTGGACATTTTCTCCAGGGCAAGGCCTTCACACAGCAACCTGTTACTCTCAAATTCCATTAGATCATGCTTCCCATCATGGAGAAATGCACGGAGACAGCACGGCAGGACCCTCGGAGAGACACTGGCGAGATGCACGGATAGACGCACAGAAAGACAGCACGGAGAGACGCATGGAGAGACACACAGAAAGACAGCTTGAAGAGACAGCACGGAGACGCACGGAGAGACAGCACTCACTTGTACACAGCCTGCACGTACTGCGACTCGCTGTCGCTCTGTGCGTACACCTTCCTGCCCATGGCCGTCTCTGTACAGAGAACAACGCAGCGATAACAAAACAAGTACAATCTAGATTTGAAGTTTTCGTGACTGCAGGGATCCACACTCTTTGGTTCGCTTGTGTTGCGTCCGAAACGTCGTGATTTAATTTATACCTACGTGACTTTACAGAAAGAACCAAAGAGTATGGAATGCAAGTACAAACAATAGTGTCTATAGTTAGCTCAGGTTTTCGTCAGTTATGACCAACATGTTATTTCATTAATGTTTTGTAATCATAATAATAATACGGGTACCGACTCAGGTCTGGTACTAGTGTAGAGGAGTGAAATGTGCCATATGCACAGTTAACTGAGGGCAACTGAGGGAAAACAGGTGCGCGTGTGCAACATGAGGTTTGCACGGACAAACCGCCAGTTAAGGGGTGAAGCAGGTGCAAACGGGGTCGATCGGTTGTGCACGTTGAGGCCGGAGGTGTTGCCAGGGAGACGGGAGATAAGGAAATGATTGATGGGCCAACAGACGCCGGCCTGGCGAGAGCTAAAAAAGATGCATGAGCGGTTTCGGATAATTTGCAGAGGGATATAAGGGTGTGTGCGTGAGCGGAGGGGGGGGGGGACAAAGAGTGAAGACATCTCGCCGCTGCCGCTCCAGCCGTCAACGGGACCTCAACCCTCACGCCGTTGGTGGGCGGGTGCTGATCCCCCAGCCCGGGATAGACGGATGAGCGGGTCTGAGGGAGCGTAGGTGAGGGCAGCGGTGGAGATGTAGAGTTGCTGTGTGCGGTGACGCAGTGTGCGAAGACGCTGTGTACGGAGTCGATGTGTGCGGAGACGCTATGTGCGGAGACGCAGTGTGCGGAGCTGCTGAGTGCAGGTTAAGTGAGGTGAAAGGTAGATAAGAGTGGGTAGAAGTTAAACATAAGTGACCATATAGAGAGTTATAGGCGTGCCTACAACTGGTGCAAAAATAGGTGAATAAAGTGTAAGCAGGCTACTTGTTACGTGTCGGTGCGAGTAATTTTTGAAGACACTACACGAGGCTTGCCACCTCTGAAGTACAAAAAACTGTACGCACGTTGTTGGTGTTGTATATATTCGGTCTTGAAAAATTTAATTAAAAAAATGAAAATTTGAAATGTATAATTTTCCAAAATTATGCTAATGTATGTAATGATGAAAATATGCATTTATGCTAATTATGCTCTGCTTCGTTGTCTAGCGGTATTTCCAATCGTGATAATGAAATGAAGATGTAATTGTATGAAGTTCTGCAAGTGTATGTAATTACGCTTTAACTTTGACCGATTATATTTAAAATTTTGATTTAAAGCTTTCGTGACTGCAGTAATTCATATTCTTAGCTCTTCCGGTAAAGTCACGTTGAAGGGAAACAATAAAATAATAAAATATATATAAAACAATAAAAATTATCACGACGTTTCGACCATAACACAAATGGCTTTCTTCTGTGTCTAGACGACCGTTTGTGTTATGGTCGAAACGTCGTGATAATTTTTATTGTTTTATATATATTTTATTATTTTATTGTTTCCCTTCAACGTGACTTTACCGAAAGAGCTAAGAATATTATTATATTTTAGTTTGTTTATCTCAGGTCTCAAAATTCAGATCTCTCTGCAGGATACAGTTCTTATAATTAAGATTATGCATGAACTTAGCAAGGCACCACTTAGACTCTTCTGTATTAAGCAACTTTAATATTTAAAAAAACCCATAAAATTATCATATGCGAACTCTTACGCTAGGAATGTCAACAGAGTACTCCTGGAGATGTCCTCCTCATTGATCCGTACATTTAACCCTCAATAGTTGTGTTTAACTGGGTAACAGAACAATCAGCTAATTCCTCAGAGTAAAGCGACCGTACATGATTACAGGAAAAAGTCCTTAAAAATGAATGTAATAATATTCATTCGAATGGTAATAAAAAAATGTGCCTAAGGCAAAGGTAGACCTCAATGAATTCATTGGTAAGATTATGCAATTAACGAAATGCCTTGAAACAATCGTGTGCGGTAGTGTGCCTGCTTGTCTAACAAATGTTTATCAATTGGCTAAAGGTTTTAATAAATTCGCGGGCAAGATTATGTGACCATAAGAAAGATTTGGTGCTTTCGTGACTGCAGGAATTACTCCTTGGTTTTTTCGGTAAAGTCACGTATAAATAAGAAATAATAATAAAATTAAATTACATAATAGTATATATATACGATGTTTTGATTGCAACGCAAGCAATCATCATCAGGTATAGAAGAGCTAAATTTAAGAGAGAGAGGAAACACAGAGAGATGGAGAAGCACATTAAATTGAACAAGATTTAGTAAATTTGGAAACAATATATGCGCACAGAGGTCGGTCAAAACACAATTACGCATGGTCTGGCTGAATACGTATATTTCAAAGATTGCTAAAATTATAGGTTAAGAGTGATAGAGTACAGATCACAGACCATATATAGACAGCTAAATTTAAGAGAGAGAGAAAAACAGAGAGATGGAGAGCACATCAAATTGAACAGATTGAGTTAAAATTTGGAAACAATATAATGCAGCAGAGCGTCATCTAAACAAAGATTGCTAAATTATAGGTTAAGAGTGATAGAGTACAGATCACAGACACATATATAGACAGCTAAATTTAAGAGAGAGAGGAAACACAGAGAGATGGAGAAGCACATCAAATTGAACAAGATTGAGTAAAATTTGGAAACAATATAATGCAGCAGAGCGTCAGTCAAAACACAATTAACGCATGGCCTGGCTGATTACGTTATTTCAAAGATTGCTAAATTATAGTGACAGAGTACAGATCACAGACATATATAGACATCCAAGCAGAGAGAGCCAGCACAGAGACACACAGAGAGAGACACACACATGGGACAAAGTGAAACAATGCTTCTGTGTCGACGCCTTAAATAGAGGGGAATGGAGGAGGGGTCGAGACAGAGCAAAGGAATACAAATTAGCATGGACTGGGAGCCACCGCACATGCCGCCGCTGCAGCGTGGTGAGGGGGGGGGGACATTTTTTAGTTCTATACCTGATGATGATTGCTTGCGTTGCAATCGAAACGTCGTATGTATACTATTATGTAATTATATTTTATTATTATTTCTTATTTATACGTGACTTTACCGAAAAAACCAAAGAACAAAAGAAAGATTTTAACACAATAGTATCCCTGTGTGTGTGTAGATTCGTAACATAGATGTTTATAAATGTTTAGTTTCATCAATGAATTAATTGGTACAGGTTATGCAATTAACAAGAATGACTAAAATGCTTTGACCGTATCTACGTAACTCAATGGGCAGCAATGCTTTCCACGATCAGCTAATAGTTGACGCACCCACTTTTGATGACCACCCTTTTTGAAACACAAGGATAACTTTCGGAGCAATCTTATTAGCCTCGATATGCACGTTATGTGTGAGTGTGTGGGTGTATTGTTTCCGTGCTCCACTTTTTGAGATAAGGGGTTCCCTGCCAGGTGATGGGTCGTGTGTGTGTCAAACACATGGCTTTCTCTCTCTTGGCTGCAGCTGTAGGCCTCTCTGTTGCAGGCACGTTGCTCGTCTTTGAAGGTGCCCAATTGCGCTCGCAGCTCGTCCCTGACACCAGCGCCGACAATCTTCCTCGGTTGTGCCGGTCACACGCTCTCTCTCCTTCTCCGTGCTCTCCTTCGGCGGTGCACGATTGCGCTCGCAGCTCGTCCGCTGCTTGCCGTTCCTCACTCTTGTCTTGGTTCCCAGTTAGTGCTCGTCGGTGTGTGTGGGTCGAACCCTCGGTGCTCTCGCAAGCGCTGACACTTTACCTCTTGGCTACACTTCAGGCTCTTTTCCGCTGCTCTGTGGTCTCTCCCTTGGCGGCAGCTGCCAGCTTCACGCGGGCCCCCTGTGGTGCCTCTCCCGCCCTTCCTTCAGCGCTGTGCTGGTTCAGGCTCTTTCCTCTGCTGCATGCTCTCTCTGTGCTTTCTCCTTTGGTGTGCAGCTGCTAGTTTCACGCGGGCACCCGATGATGCCTCTTCCGCCCTTCCTTCAGGGCTCCTGCTGTGAGCTGCTCTCCTTTGGCTCCTCACTTGCTCTCAGAACTTATAAATTGTATTCGCACACTTTTTAGCTGCTCGCAACTCTTATCGCTTAGTACAATACAACTCAAAACATCAGGATAAATATAGACTAAAACTTTCAGCGATACTCTGTCGGTCAGTGCCAAACTCGGCACCTAGCAACACATCGCCCCTCTCCTCTGCAAGACTCGACATCCATGGTTGATTGCGGGGGGGTGGAGACTGAGTTGCGTGTTTTGTGTCCTTGCTTATATGCTAAATTCTTCCCCCTCTGCGCGTCTCTCGCGAAAAAAAAGAATCAATTTGTTTCGTTCTCCTCCCGCGACCACAGCCGCCTGGTTGCCCCCCCCTCCCACCCTTTTGACTGGCTGCTTTCCATCACCATGTTTATGTGTTTTTTTTGTTTCCATTCCCCTCCCCCTCTGCCTTCGTGGTGTTTGCCATCTCAAGGGGAGGCACCCTCCCTTTATACGTAATTTATTGCTACCATGTGTTTTGTCTGCTCCTGGAAGACAAAGGCGGTTGGTGAGGCTGTGATCCTATGGAATACATATTTTCTTGGTCGTGTGTGATTAACCTATTTCGCCTTGTATCTCTTTTGAATTACTCTAGGCCTAATACTTCATAATTATTATTTGGTTTAGGTTTAACCAAGATTTGTGATGTACCACAGTTGTTACCACAGGTATTCCGAGGATTTTGTTAAACTTTGTTCTCCGTCTGTGTCGCCAGGGATCCATGCGTCTTATTCTCGAGTTATATTGTGATATCCTGACTTAAGCTTTTGTGACTGCCGGAATTCATATTCTTTGGTTCTTTCGGTAAAGTCACGTAGATAGAAAGATACAATATATAAGGTGAATAAGTAATAATAAAAGCCACTAACGTAGACTGCAAACTGGTTCTTAATCTGAGAGTGTATCCTTTCATGCTC